TGCAGCTCTATTGCAAACAATTTTCTTTCGTCTATCCATCTCGCATCACTGCCAGAGGGAAGAAGAAAAGGAGCCTGGGGACTTCAGCAATGCCTCTACCACCTTTCCACGTTTATCCCTTATCTGATGACCTTGAAGCTTCCCTCGATGGCCTCGAGTTCAAATTCCGCATTTCACCAACTACTTCTGGGCAATTCTCTCGGGCGATTCTCGATTCCCCCCCGACCTGTTTTTTACGAGGGCATTCATCGAGTCATCTTTGAAGTTTCACCTTATGACCTTAATGCTTCAACAGGTTTCGTTTCGCACCGTTAGGAGTTCGTGCACAAATTCCACGACTCAGGCGCCGCAATTTCCGTGTCGGACCGCTTTCGATAACCAGAATTTTTGTTATAACTCAACTCGGATGAATGAAATTTTCCGAGTAGATTTTAGTTCAACGATACCCGTACGTTCTAACTCGAACCTGATTCGAAGAATCTCTTCTCGAACGAGCGCGCGATAAAATTTGTACCGAAACAGAAGCAGCTGAGCACGGAAAAAATCGAGGGAGCGTTTTTCGGACTGGGAACCGACAGGACCGGAAGGAATGGATGCGACGCGTGACACTACTCTAGTAACGCGTGACACTAGTCACCAGGTGCCTAGTGTCACCGACACCATCGAGATGATCTCACACGAAGGAAATGACGGATGCTCCACGACATGCAATACCTTTGCGTATCGATCTGCCTTTCCCATTATCGAACGATGGGGGAAACGGCTGATATTGCGAACGATTCCTTAATATTTCCTCTTTCTTTTTCATTCCGTCTTTCCACGGCCACCCCAGAAACTGGAATATTTCCATTCGATTCGTTGCATCGTAGACGCGGAAAGAGCGTCGGACCGTGTGCCCCGAGGAAAGCTGTGCGGAGTGCCGCAAGAGAGTGCGGGACGAAGGGTCGGCCACCGCGGGCCCAGTGGCGTAGCGTGATCGGCATGGGCCCTGGTGCAAGGATGAAACGGGTCCCGCTGTCCAATTCCTTACTGTTGAATTATGTGGGAGTCTTTCCCCCCCCCCCCAATTTTTCTCCGGCAGCATATATATATCGTCATCGGTAGCTGAAGTCAGTGTGGAAGGCAGTGGCGGATTCAGAAATTTTTCGTAGGGGGGGGCCTGTATCCTAGTTCCCAGCCCCGCTCCCTTCATCGACTACCTATCGCCTTATTCATTTTTCGTCTGGAGTAAAACCCCTGAATATCCATTTCACAGGAGCATTAATTTCGCAGGAGGATTAATTTATGTGCTTTCTAAAAAAAAAATAGATTGCGAACTTGGCCAGAGGAGGGACTGTCCCCCCCCCCCCCTCTCCTGGTTCCGCCACTAGTGAAAGGGTGAATACAGGGCGGGATCAAGAAGTTGGGTTAAGTGAATTCTTGGCCCCTCCCCTGCTACTTTACGCATTACGCATATATTCAACGTGTTTAATTTCCTTCGAGAGCCCCCTGGAAAAGTGGGGCCCGGGACAACAGCCCCCTTTGATCCCCCCCCTCCCTCCCCCTTAATCCGACTCTGGGTGAATGGTATTGGAAGTGGCCACCACTTCATTTAACCACACGAAGCGGCGTCCCAGTTGCTAGATGTCTCTGTGCAGTGTCGCGTTGAATTCCTTTGATTTGATCTTCCTTTTCGGCTACTGGCTCTCACCTCGTTCCGATGCCAAGGGACTCCCAGCTAACGCGCCCCCCCCTACTCCCTTGCCTTCTCCCCTCTTCGTAGCTCGGCGTCTGGGTCCCTCTGGCCCGTGGGCCCCGGTGCAGTCGCACCGTCTGCACATTCGGTAGCTACGCCACTGCGCGGGCCGTTCGTTCCCTATGGGGTGAATGCAGGAGCTGCCGAGAGAGAGCGGAAGGAAGGAGGATCGTTTTCTGGTACCGGCTGGACTTGGGTAGGATTTGTCCTCTCTCCTTTCCTGTTCCTCGAGTGCAGGTGTAGGCGCAGCCTCGGCCTGGAGGGGGTCGACATCGGTGACGTCACGGTAAGGATTCTTCTCTTCGCCTCGGATGCCGTCCTTTCGACCCGTTCTCAACCGGTTCTACTCCGATTGCGCTGCGGCCGGAACGAAACCGAACGGCTCCGAGACACAGGTCGTGGTCCTCTCGAGAAATTCCGTGCAGTGCACGGAATTTCTCGGTGGAGTCCCATTGGAACGGGTGGAGAAGTTCGAGCACCCTCATCTATGGTCATGAACTTCTAGTAAAGACCGAAAGAACCAGATCGCGTGCAGGGTGTTCCGGAAGTTTCTGACCGATAAAGATGGAGACGAGATGAACGATAATACAGTATATCGATTTAATTGCATTCTGCATCATCAGGTACCAACTCCTGCATCGATACTTGATATTACTTTCGTGGAACTGCAGAAACCGACGGATGAAGCTCGTCGCGTTAACCCAGCTTCGCTAAGAATCCCGGTGATGACTGACGGGATGATTCATGGGATGGGTGCTGACGCAGATAGCTCCGCTGGAACCTGTGCCATAAGTGTCCCAGGTGTCGAGGTCCGGACGGTTCCTTGGTGACTTCGTTTTCGCAGTGGTTGAAATACGAGTAGTATGAAGCCATATTTTGAGTCAGAAACGTTCGGAACACCCTGTATAGAAATTCCCTCGATGAGGTTCTTGCGTCGGGTATCCGGTGCGACGCGATCGGAAGCGAAACTCCGTCATCCGCGAGATCCTCCACGTCGAGCAGCTGCTTCTCGGGATCGAGAGGTCTCAGGTCGGGTGGTTCCGACACGTCTCCGGCGTCCAGGATCGAGGTCATAGGTGGACGCTCCTGGGCATGCTCGAACCGCGACCCCATTAAGTTGGGGGAAAAGCAAAATTGAAAATGTATGTATGGATTTTTATCATATGGAGTAGAGAGGAAATAAATAATTTACCCGAAGATCTTGGACTTCTCGGCAGAAATTAACATCCAGTGTTTATAACGGTCTTCGACTACGAAGACCTAAATCCCCACAACCACTTAAACTGAAGCGAAACAGTGTCCTCCGTAGCCGACATGCACAAAATCTGTCAGAAATTATAAAATATCAGTCTTTTATTTTACTCGGGGCTTCCACTATAACAAGAAGTCTACATCTTCCTTCGATCCATCCGAGTACATTTAGTAATATTTATGATTAAAAAAATCACTCGCTGAAGATGAAATTTCTCCCGCAAGGAAAGGTCGCGAAGCCTCCCAGCGGAGAACGGAAGAAGGAGGGATCAGCTTCGACTGCCGGCTCTGCAACCACGAGAAAACACATGCATGTTCGAATGCTTCTCATAGGGTCATTTGGGGGAATATGGCCCTACAAAATGAAACCTGGTCATCATGGCCCATCAAGGTTGAATTAGACTTTTACAATGTTTCTAAAATATTGATTGATATCTCCTTTGCTAAATGCCAGCAAGGCGTATGCAAAAAAAAACATGGTTATGGCACCTTTGGGTCTTTTCCCAGTCGGTCTCAAGAGGCTATATTAACCCTATAGTTGGGGGAATATGGACACTTCTGAAAAAAGAACTCCAGGTTGTCCGGGAACATGTGAAATATGCTGGAACATGCTGAGTACCTTGAAACATGATAGTGCCTTGAAACTCTCAGCAGTTGAAAACGAAACACTGCACCGAGGACAAACAAAGAAGTCGACATCGTTACCTGACTCGAGGAACCGTTGTGGAAAATAGGATTGCAACGCTTTTGCTTTTGAATAACAATGCACGTGATTGGGAGACAATATCTAGAGACTGTGTATGTGTGTGTAAGAGGAGTGATCAAGCATTGATTAAAGTGACTATGCGCTACGAGTGAAAAATAAGAGGTCTTACATTGCAGGAAAAATGTTGCGTTGTTTTTGTATGTATGGATATGTAGTGCCAAAAAAAAAAACAGAATGCCCTATTTGTACGAGATATATTTACTTACATTCAAGTTTCTTGCAACAAAAATTTCTGGAGAATGTCAAGCGATGCAGAAAGAGGTGCATAAGCATACCCTCGTGCACAGCCTCCTCATGTACTGCATATTTCGTCCAGATGTCCATTACTTCTATCCATACATCCAGAGGAAGTGCATTGAATGATCTCTTGCCGCCTGAGATCCCACACGAAAGGAAGCAGACACTAACAATAGGTCTGTGCGGTGCTAACATGAAATGAAGGATGTGTCCATATTACCCCAAATCGAGATGGCCATATTTCCCCAAGTTACCCTTTGGGCTCTAATGGTGACGAATCTCGACCTCAAACTGAAACGTGACGAACCCTTTGAGGATGTGAAGGAGAATGCAGTTGACATGAGACTAATAAAACTGCAAAATCTATGGCTGACGTATGTCGACGATGAGAACTCCAATTGCATTCCAATCTTCACGGTGATCGGAGTCGCATCTCGTGGGGCGGACGGGGACCGTGAGTTGTCACTTCATTTATTCTTCTAACTTTTGGGGTTCCGTGGAGTCTCATCACTTGAGTAAGTTTTGACACTGGTTCTTAATTCTCCGAGTGTCGACGCATTGCGATGGCTAGATGGCATCTCGAGGCATCGTACGTGGTACTTATGACAAGTGAAGGGGTTTCGCTTTTCAGCTTCAAATACACGATTCTTCTATTTCCATTTGCGTTTTAAAAGATTTCCCGGAAAGCTGCAGGTGCACATTAAGCCTATACATGACCAATACATGACAGATTATTGGTTGATTCATTGCATGTCTAATGTCCCAATGACCTGATGCAATATGCGCCTTCATTTTCTCCTTTCCTTCGCGATATGCCAATTGGTCTTTTTTGGAAGGTTCAGATCATCAATATCTCACCCTGGGCAAGAACTATTGTCAATGACCGCAGTGATTCGACGAGACGTCAAAAAGAATTACCACAATCTTTGTGCAACTCAGATCCTACTTTGGTTACGAATGAAACCAAGAAGCCACGTTCTTTTAGAGTGAATAACCCCGATGGACTAACCCGGCAAACTTCAGCTGATCGAGGGATCCAGGGATGAGAGGACAAGCGAGCTTCTCAACGTCATCAAACTGCGTCTCGTCTTCCTCATCAGCGCGTTTAGAAATGCTCCACTCGACAACGATGTAGGTACAACCGACGTCGATCGTTTGGACGACTCCAGCCACCACTGCGATTGGATCGAAGAATCCCTCAAAGTAGTAGCGGTACATCCAGTTGAGGATATACCACGCTCGGTAGGAGCCGAGGGTGAGCAGATAGAGGGACATCGTGCCATCCGCTTCCCCGGTCTTGCACACCATGGTCAGCTGCGGGAGGATTGCCACTGACTCTAGGTAGATGCTGAATGTCCACAGAATCTACATAAAATAAATCTGCATAAAATAAAAATGTCAGTCTGACTTCCTCCGATCAATTTATATGCAAAACCAATATTTGTGGCTAAGATCAGCAAGTCACATGCTCTTGCTCCAAGAGCAAGAAATATACTTGTAAAAAAAAAGTTCAATTCCATTATTTTTTTTTTCCTTTCAAAGCGATTGTGACTGTAATTTAATTTTTTAATCACAAAAAAGCCTGACAGCCATCTTGCAGGATGTAGCGTTTAATGAGCCCCTCGGAAGGAAGGGGCGAATGAAGGCGCCCAACTGCCACCTTCATGCGATGATTTTCTGGTCAAATGAAAAGCTATCGCACGCGAACATAAGTCTTTCTTGTTCTGCTCGTGAGTTAAGACTAGTGCAAAAAGCCGAGTGCCAGTACATCAGTGATAAAATTCCCATACTCTCTGGGGATAACTCGATTATTCAACTGCTGCGACTGATGCAGCAGATCAAAATCCATTCAAAGGACTGCTATTAGAGCAAGAAAGTCGGTAAGAACATATACCACCGACCTCGAGCGCGGAGAACTCGTGATTGAAGAAAACTGCCAACTCAGCCACCAGGGGGATAAGGAATACAATCCTGGAAGAAATCAGTACTTCTGTCTGAGTAACGTAGAGACAGTCCTTCCAGTTGAAGGAGTTCTCGGAATGGAACCGGTCCTAAACATATCTCGTCTCACCTGAACGTGTCGTGGTCGCTGTCGTAGGAGTCCTTAAACTTCACGTATATGAGGTACACGGTGACGAAGGTGATCGCAATGAACACCACCTTCATGACCGAGTTGTAGACGGAGACAAAATTTGTAAAAAGATCCAGAAATCTCGTCGTGTAAACCATGGCAAACAGCACCTGCGACCTCCCCGAAACCCCTGCAAACATGGAGAACAGCCGAATCTCAGCCGATTTCGTATGCGAAGACCTCGGCCTCTGTGTCCCAGAGCGACCGGCCATTGGAAAGAACCGCTTCGTCTCCCAACCTCTCGACCTATCACGACGTTCCTGGAGGAAACCCAAAAGCGAGGGTGGATGTCCGGGTTAAAAAGTTTTCAATTTCCCATTCCTTTGTAACGGGCACGGGGCGCAGTGGGTTGGATTTATGAAAATATGAAATATTAATTAAGTTAAAATAAAACCTTTACGTTAACGCGCCCCGATTCCATTATAATGAATTCCCTTCCAGGAAATCTGGTCCGTGCCAATTCAAATTCGAGCGGGAGTAACTAAGGCGTAATTCAAGAAAACAAAAAAAGTGTATTTCCAAAAAAAAAACTAAGAATAAAAAGGACAATAGAAATGTTAACCAAGCAACCGGTCCAACCCCTTTACAGTACTTTCAATGATAATGGTCTGATCTTCACTTCCAGATAAAACCTTGCAAGTTCTGGGGAAAACTCACGACCATCGAAGCGAAAAGATCCTCTAACTATAACGTTTTTCCTCTGTATGTTTTTGAGAGAGAAAGGTGGCCAGTTTCAGAGCACCCACGATCTAAACGGCCCGAGTACCCCGGTCAAATCGGTACTAACTCGAGTTCGAGCTCTTCAGTCACCTCGGAGTGAGGGATCGAGGGAGGGATCTTCAGCTGAAATCTGGATTGGAGGATAGGTTTGGAGGGACTTTGATACCCATTCACATAATGATGTTATGGCTCCTAGTACAGTGTTTGGGCAGCACATGCATAAAGAAAAGATCCTGCATTTAAACTGTAAGGAGCCCTTCCACGGGTTGGCTGACCCCAAACACTGGGTTCCCCTCCAAATTCATGCATCTCCACGTGTTAATGGATGTTTTAGTTCAGCTCCTTCAGCTTCCTCCCCGCCTTGACTCTCTGCTGATACACTGGACGTTGCGCGGTCATAGGCTGGCATACGTTACACCTTCAATCGAGAGAGCGTATTCACGACTAAAATGGTTTTCATATCAACGTTTCGTTTTGACCTTTCAATACCGAGAATGCGAGGCTTTAATTGCCGATTTGCCTGAAAACTTGAACGCTCGCGCGCAGCTCTTCCCTGTTGGGCCTCCCTCCCGCCTCACTCGCCCATGTTCCTTCGCCTGCCCCAAAACCGTCTCCCATGCACGCATTTCCCTCCTCGCCTGTCCCTTTCTTATATCCGCTAGCCTAACTGGATCCTGCTACTGACGTCAGTGGAAGCATGGGCCGCCGCACTCCCTGCGGCAGACTAATGACTAATGAAGGATTTCTTTGTATCGTCATCATCCTTGTCCAAGTAGTACACACAAAGGGTAACGATGTCCATGAGTGTTGTGATAGATTTTAAGTCGAATGTGTGATGTTCGCAAGAGGAAGTTTGGCAACGTATACCTCTCCCCCTTTATATGGCTATGTCCACACATCTCCCTTTTCTGAAACTTCTGCATGTTTCGCTCGGTGCCTTCCTCCTTCGGAAAGTAATGAAATCTGGGTTTAATGGGTTCATGGCATGCTTCAGATTGCTAAGGAGAAAGTCGATCCTCTGGGATCTGTAAATAAGCCTATATGTATTGATGGGGTTCTGAGAGAAGTTCTGAGCGTGGTCGCGCCGTCACTTCCGACCAACAGTTAGTCATATGCTTGCTAAATTTTGTGCTCGATAGTCGTTTGACGGGTCGAATCAAAACACTTATCAATCGAAAACAGTTCGCCACATGAACACCAAAGTAACGAAATCGAATTTCAAACGAGGCTCGATTCCCGGCCGTCCTCTGGCTTTTTTTCGTCCTCTCTCGTCCATCCAACATACCTTCAGTTCTCGTCATATAATGCATGAAATGTTCTCTGATTATTGGATGGACACAAGTTCCTGGGTTGCTGGGACACACTTATTATTTATTAGAGATCTCCGTATGGGTTCCCATGGATTGTTCATGCCAAGCGGAGCGTTTCTGGTAGGATTACTGTCTCCACCTTCATTTGACCGGGCTCTTATACATCCTAGGGTGTTTGTGAGGGAAATCATCGCAAATGTCGACAGGAAAGAGTCGACGCCTGAAGCATCATGATTTCTACCCATATCTTCTTCAGGAAAATCCCAGTCCAGCCATTAAGTCATGGGTCAGGATTTGGGTGGGTCTCTCCAGAGGCTCACATCAACATTTCTCCCTGAAAATGTATTAATAATGGGCTCATTTATCTTCCTCGAGTTTCGAAATATTGATGGAAAGTGAATGATGTTGCTCTGACGGATTCGGAGAGCAGAATGCATTTTGCATAACTTTCGTTTCGTTGCACCTGACCTATCTCATCCCTGCATCTGTGATATTTGCATGGACATAACTTCGAATTTTAAACTGCCTTTACATTTTAAGGGTAACTCTTGGGTGGCATTTAAAAAAACAGAGCGAATATATTAATATTTTAATTTTAGTTATTTTGAACCTTGGAGCCAAGTATCTCAATGTGGATAATTATTTATGTTTTTCTGCACAGATCTTTCGAGACGACTTTGAAAAATGGCTCTGCCGAATCACTGCCCAAGAATGACTGACCGAGGCCATGTCGAATAATCATGCAGTATTCGATTCGCGTTTCTCCTGCATGCCTCGTTCCTCGCCAACGACCACGAGCTGCTTTCCTCTCGGCCTAGGGCTTGATCGAAAAGACCCACGATTCAGACGACACCTAAATCACCTTTCACGGTGAACCGGTTCCCGAGCAGTGGGGCATATTCCTGTTATTGTGCCTAAAATAGCCAGCAAACGACGAAGGTCAACGAAACTTGTGCGTTTTCACTAAGTCTACCTCTTCATTTCCCCTCTCACGCGTCAAGACATGTCGATGATGCAACAGATCTTGGAAAGTGCCTTCGTTCCTTGGGAGAGAACGAGGCCAAGAAATATTGAAAGCCCTCTGTCTATTAATTTGTACTGGCTTTAACACGTGAAAAATTCACGTCTGATTGGGACTAATGGAATTCAGTTGCATGGCATTCAAATGAGGCCCTTCGCAGAAATCCTTGAACAGCCAAATATAGGGATATTAATAAAGGGTGCGTCCCTTCAACCCCTCCACCAAAAATTTCCACTAAACCAATTTTCAGGACGTTCTGTTCCACAGTATTCAAATGAGACGAACCGTACGAATTTGAAATTCCTAGGTCTCAGTTGGAGAATGTGAGATTCTTCAAGCATCAGAGGCCCCAATAATAAATAAGTTTTTAACGAGATCCCCCCTACCATCCAAGTGAGACTCGTTTCACTCGAGTATGGGGGGGGGGGGGGGGGATTAGCTCTATTGGGCAGTGCATTGAGAGTCAGAAGCAACCGTCAGCCCTCAAAACGCATGCCATGCTCAGGTTGGGATGTCATGTCACCGGCCGGATATGCGTGTCCCCTTTCCAGCCGAGGGATCCTTTCTCGACAAACGAAGATCGCAGTGGTAAACACGAGGAGACGGGGTTGCTAGATCAACTAACCTTATCTAGCAGTGCTGCGAGGCACATTACTGGACTGGGATTGCCTACCCAATTTTTTTTTTTTTTAGACAGGACGTGTGACGGACATACCAGGGACGTAGCCAGGGTTTCGCCAATGGGGCTTGCTTCTCCTCGCCCTGTAGGGGGAGGGGAAGGGGTGGCGGATGCATTTAGACTGGAGTTGGGGGGGGGCTGAAGCCCCCCAGCCCCCCCCCCCCCTCCCCCCTCTCTACGCCACTGGGGCATACACGACAACGGACGTACTTTTAGACGACACAGCGAGGAAGGGGGTACCGGCTTGGCACGAGCACCACAGCTCAATCCCAGTCCATTATGACACCTCCCGACGGTCGTGTTTTAGGCCTAGGTTTTATTAATTTTTAATGTAAACAATTTGGAGGAGAAAAATTCCTGCAAAGAACGAATTGGGAATAAACGCCCACGGCCAGGCGACCAGTGCTCAAAACAAGACTGACATTTGACCTGACCCCAGTGACTCCCAAAAAAAAAAAATTAAGTTGGTAGGAGCTGCCAGCGCAGGATTTGAGATCCGACTATGGCCGGTGACCCCCTTCCTCCTCCCTCTCCGGGATTAACCTCCACTATCTCTTCGCTTCGTCGTCTAGACGTGGTACCTAGCTGCAGACACGCAATATTCCTGCAGGGCACGAGACTCATTTTCCTGCTCCGAGGTATTTTTAACCTTTATTTTTCCGGCAGCCCTTCTCCCACGATTCTTCGCGGAACGAATGCTTCTTTCCCGAGGCAGAGATTTTTGCAGAGAAGGCGCCTGGAAGAACCGATCCGAATGGTAACGGCGAGACGAAGGATTCCTTCGTTTCGTTTACCCACCAACGAAAAGCGCATTCGTGAATCCGTTCTTCGTGACGCTCGGGTTTGGTCACAGCTTGGGCTAGGGAGACTCGGATGGCTCAAAAATCGCACACCGATCGGCAGGCAAGCGAGTTTTTTTTTTTGACATGACAGGCTCTGGTACCGAGGGGGAAGCCTGCCTGGAGCTGTGTAAACGATGCCCTCGTTTATCTGCATCTCCCTGCCTCGTGTAAGAGACTCGTACTGACGTCGGCAAAATAAAATTAAAAAAACGGATCAGTGTTAATAATAATTTAAGGCAATACGATAGAACACCATTCATTAACGAGGACGGGGTGAATATAGCCTGAGACTGAAGAGTCCTTTGCGTGTGATGCGAGAGCTACTTCTTTCGGTGAAGGTATCGTACAAGGTCGACATGCGGTAGATCTCATCACGTTCGACGAGTTTTTCGTCGGGAGACTGTACTGAAACGTGGTGCGATGCGCACGTCTCACCCGCTTCTCGCAGGCCCTATTCGCAAGGGCCGGATGGGTCGTGAAATCGTCCGGTTGTCCGAGGGTTCGCTCGACACGGGGGATATCGTTTTCGGGACCGGCAGACCGGATGGGGGCTTCGACTGGAGTGAATACGAGGAGAGACGCGATATCGTTGCTGTCTAGGTTTCACGCGAACGTCGCTTTGCGTTTTAACCGACACCTATGAGAATAAATATATTTAAATAAAAAAAACTAACAAAACGACACGTTCCAAATGGATCGACGAACGAAAGGTAAGACGACCTCATTCAAAAAAAAAAAAAAAACAATTTCGAGCGGTGGTTAGAGATGACTCCAAAAAAAAACCCACGGAAATCATGGAGACACTCACCGGCGCATGACCGAGACTTCCAAATCTTCACCAATAGGATGACGAGGGCCAAGAGGTGGGTGAGATCCCCGGAAAGTCTGTAAATGTTCATGGTGTTCTGGGCCTAGCTCTCGCTCGTTTGCGAACGTAGACGGCACGGAGAACGCGGTCGAAATCGATAGACGCAACACACTCTCCTCTGCGACTGGCGACTGCGCGACACTGGCGATGCACGACGCTTTGGCGACTGCGTGAGTCGGGCGGTCAACGCGAATGGGGTGCGATACGAGCGTGTCACCTCCCGAGGAGGACCATTCTTCTGCTTCTCCTCCATTGCACCAGATGTCAGGAGGGGATGTGAGTCTCGAGCGCCTAAAAAGAGGCGCTCTCGAGGGGCATCCGTCGTGCGCATATATGATAGTGGGGAAAAGCGGATCCAGCTCGCGCACGGTGTCGACAAACAGCCCCCTTTTTCGTAAATCCAACAAGTGACTCGAGTAGACGTGCGGGTGGCGCCAGGTACGTGTGAATTCATCCCGACGAAACGACATCATCTACGGAATGCGAATACAGGGTTGTCGTTCTCCTCTTCGCCCCCATCGGCAGGGCACGTCGTCGAAGAAACGAGTCGCCGCCGATCGACGTCGAGGATCGCGCTTTCGAGACCGATTCCGAAAGGCAGTCGTCATCGTCGCAAACCACAGCCACCGCATCACCGAGTGCAGAAGCCCTCTCGCAGCACCCGAAGACACAGCTCCGGCAACCCTGTAAAGCCGAGAGATCCCCCATCCCTGCTCCGCCTCGACAGAGGTCAGTTCATAGGCCTACGACTCGACTGGACGTGCCGATGGGAAACGCGGCCGCCATCGAGTCGCCCAACGATTGCATGGCTTTCCGATTCGTGACGTCACGCTTCACTGAGTTTTCGCGCTCACCGATGCAGTGGAGGCTTCATTCGACCCTGCATTCAAACTCGTATCTCGTCAAAAGAGAATCCGAATCCCGTAATTGTCGTTGAGGCAGTGGCAGCACACTGGAGACGGTCTTCGCCGACGAGGTACAGTGTATTCACGATTGATCGATGCTACCTTTTCCATCTTTGAGGAGTGGAAACCCAGTCTTCCTTTTCGTTGCGCTAAACGATGCGAGCGAGCAATATCGGTTTCCCGTGCAGGTAGGTCCAGATTCTACACGGGGCGAAGAGAAATCCGTCACACCTTTAGTTAGCCAACAGCTATCGAGCCCGATTCGTCGATGCAAAACGTAACGTGCAAAAATGAAACTCCCGACGCAGTCAGCAGTCTTTCAGAGTATCCGAATCCTGAAGACACATTGGCCATGACTGGCGTGTGCCGCAGTGAATCCCATGCCTCATCGTCCCGTTGACGGTAACAGTGATGGCCGCCAGCCTTTCGAATCGGCGTGAGATCTTCGACTGATCTGTCCAGTCTGGTAATATTTACCATGTGTAACTAGAGGCGACACTTCGAGAGGTATGGGGGGGGGGGGGGGGGGGGGGGGGGGGGGGGAGCGCACTCTAGGTGTTTAGAGCCAGTGGCGTAGCCAGATTTTCGTCAATGGGGGGACTAAGCTGAACGTTGGAGGGGGGGGGGGGCTAACTTCTCCTCGTCGGGTAGAGCCCCTTGAGCAGTGGTGCACAACCTTTTTCCCCTAGAGGGCCAAACTGAGACTTCGTCTGATCTCCGTATTCATCCACTTGGGAGTGAAAGAGAAGCGAAGTCGATGTTAGCAAGTTAGTCCTTGTTAGAAAATAAGTTCCAAAATGTTGATTGTAGGCCTACCAGTAATGCATCCAAAGCTTACAGGCCAGGCCCTTAAATTATGCCTGGGCCTTCTTGGGCAGGGTTTGTGATGTCACCATTCTTAAATTCATCCAGATCTCGACCTAATTGGTGCGGAAGGTGATACATGAAGATTTAATTTTTTTGTCTGATATGAGTATGAGCCAGAAAAGTGGAAAATGCGAGAAAAATGAGTTGAGAGAAAGCGCCAATGAATCTTGGCCTCCTATAGGTCTTTAAAAAAAAATAGCGGTAAGCAGCAGAGACGTACATCATAAGTCTGTATAATATAAGCATACTCTGAAGTGAGGGGGAGTTTCTTTGCATAACAAACTTTATCTGCTTATTATTTTTTTTAGACCAGACAACTGACATCACAGAGATATGAATCCGCTGCCGGTGTCCAGTTCAGTCTTTTCACCTTAGCAGCCCAAAGGGCCCGACGATTCCTCTTTGATAGGAAGCAAAACACTCTATTGATATATCTATTAGTTTCATCCAACAGCGATACAGCAGGGCATTATCACCAAAAAAGCCCAAAGGAATGACCCTTCCCATATAGCCGATGCCGGGCTCCTGGAATCAAAATGGCGCCCAGGCACGGCAGCCAATCAGATTCCTTAAAAATAGGGACTGGAGTTGGCCAGGCTCTGTCTCTCCAGGGGCCCTACAGGTGGAGGATCGACGATGACATAGCGACCCTGTCAACGAATGGGATTCGAGCTGTGTCGCTTCTAGTTACACTCTTTACCTCTAACGGCCTTAGTCGTCTAGTGTCGCCTGGAGGGAGAAAACGCCTTGCACCGACCCTGTCGTTCACGGTCGATCTGCTCGTAATTTTCGCCCGTCGGTAGATATGAATTACAATGTAAGGTTTTGAGGAAGCAAAGCAAAATTATGTAGAACGGAAGAAGCTGCAGAACCCCTATCGTTTCGATGGATTTTTTATTTTCTCCAAGGCAGAGTCCAACGGACCTGGTTGTTCAAGAGTACGTTCTAAGTCCTCTTCTATTTTCCGTGATGGTCGACGATGACCTCCAAGAAGGTCGTCAAATATGTGGACGACAAAACCATGATTTGTGGCCGTCCCAAAAACGACCGCCCTCATCTCCAGAAAGCCTTCGATCAGGGCTTCCCAACCTTTTCCACACCCGACCCCAAAAATCACGATCATACCATTCAGGACCCCAAGCACTGGCCGAACAGGCGCTAAAGTCCCAAAGAAAAACAGCCTGGCATTTAGTTGCCGGTTCGCGACCCCGAGTTCGATCTTGGCCATCCCAAATGGGGTCGCGAAGCCCTGCCTTAGATCGAGAGCACGAATAGGCAAAATTAAACAGAAATGAAACTGGATCCTGAGAAGTGTTCTTTAATTCCCCATCTGACCATCGACGGCGGCCGCCTACGATCATAAGAAGCGTTCCGCCTCCTCGGCGTGATGAATCAAGCAGACCTCAGATGGGACCATAGAGAGAGTGAAAAGTTTGCAGAGTTTTGGGATTTGTTCAAATAGTTTTGAAAACGGACGTTAGCAATTGGGGAAAACTGTAATATTGCCGTACATGCCGAAGGGGTCAGGTTTATACCTCCTGTTGCACTCCTTCAAATGATTAGTTAATGCATTTCAAGATGAACAACTATAAATTTTCAACTACTAATGCTGCAGGCATCATCGTATAGCAGGACCTAGGACACGGTCGAGCATTAGAGTCCAACAAGAAATTAGCTAGCAAGAAAAAGCTTTCTTCTTGGCTTTTGCCAAAAAGAAAAGCATTTAAGCCTCGGTCTATGCGTTGATATGGTGGCATTTAACCTAACCTTAGCAGTCAGGCTAGCTGAGGAAGTATACAAGTAGTTTTTGATGGATCGGTTGCATTTCTGTAGTAAATTTGGCCTAAGTACGAGTAGTCCTACGAGAAATCAGCAACGATCCACCATGAACACGCTGTGCTGACGCAGAACAAGCGCGGACGAGGGCGACAAAAAGCAGACGATGAATATGGGGCGGAGCTGTGGTTACGTGATCTGAGCAGAGGCTTTTGAAACTTCCCAACCATAGCGATTGGACAACACGACCCAATGCGCACGCGCAGCTTTCCGCCTTTGGGTGTCCGTCTTCCTCAAAAACATCCACTTCCCTTCCAGCCCTCTCGGTTGACGGGTCAATGGTAGACAATGGGAGAGAGCAACTGCTCCCGGCCGCATAGGCAGGGTTGCTAGACGTTCGCGTGAAATAACGCATCTGGCATCTTACATATACTGTCCTCCCATCTCCACGCGAAGCGGACGCGCGAACCATCGAGAACAGGTCTAGTTGTTCGGTCCTTTTCATGCAGGCCAATGCCGTATCAATGACAGCTATTATTTATTTCACGCTTGAATTCCAGCGGTACAGGGGCTAGTGGAATGGCAGATCTGTACTCGGGCTGGTACTCTTTAGTCCTTTTATTGCGTACGGAATTCACTATGGCTCAAATCGCTGCCTATCCCTTATTATCGTTGGCAGAAACCGATTCCCGCTCAATCCGACAGAATGTCGATTTCAGAGGTCACCCTCACGTCAATTACGCGAGAAACGAACACGGGGACTTCACTTGTGGGAACGATGGAGCTTATGTAGGTAGTTCTGGGTTGATTGCTGACAAAGTGCAGCAATGACTAGGGGGAGCCATCGGAAAAGGCTAAAACATGGAAAAACGAAAAAAAAAAACACCCACAGAAATCCCAGATTACTGACGAGTTGCCAAGCGACTGGGGCCAGCGAACTATCGGTAAACACCGCGAGCGATGCCGAACTGTCGTTCTGCGCGATCTGTCTTCGCGAACTACTTCGTGACGCGTCCCTTTTTAACGAGCTGGGCGCGGAGAGCGATCTCGAGATCCCGTCCGGCCTTAGAGACGATGCACTACTGTCGTCACGGTCACGACTGCACGAGAACAGAGGGCAGGGATTCGAGCATGCAGACGATAGTTTCACTCTACGACCGGACAGCTCGGTGACGGATGGTCCACGGCTTGCGATACCTTTGCGAATTACCTGTCTTGTGAACACGATGAACGATGGGGAAATGGCAGATGTTGCGAACGATTACTCACTTTCCTTTCTTCGTTCCGTCTGTCCGCAGTCGCCTCGGAAACCGGAATATTGCTATTTTCGATTCGTTCACGTGCATCCTCTTGCCTCGGTCAGGGTGCCAGTCGGCGACTAAAACCGCCGGTTCCCGTCCAGGAACTGTCGAAGCGGTAACGAGGAAGATCGGACGCGAACGACCGGCAGACCAGGACTCGCGCTGGGCCCGAGATCCGATTCGCCGAAAAGGGAAATATTCACCGGCGCACGACCGAGACTTACGGATCTCGACGGATGGGTCGGACGATTGAGATCCCGGCAAAACCTGTGTGTTCCTGCTGTGAATTCGAGCCCATTTCCAAACGTGGACGACACGGAGAACGAAGAAACTCGGAAGCGACAAAAGGACGCCATCGACGAACCGTTCCTCTTCGCTATACGCCACTCGGAAGACCACCGAAACGCACAGCACGAGCGTGTCTCCTCCTGGTAATGGCAAGCATTTCGTTTCTCTCCTGGAGCGCCAGATTTCGGGAGGGTAGGTGTGCGCTGGGGGCTACGTTCGGCCGATTCCCCCGAAATTCGCTCGTTCGGACTCCGTGGGTCTCGAAAGCCGAAGCGAGTCGCAAAGCCCCGTGTGCCAACCGATTTCCAGATGCGACCAAAAGAGGTTGGTCTTTCGGACTTTCACTCGCACGAACAAAGACTCTCGATTCCGATCAGAATTAATCGATCGGCTTACGTGTGGCAATAGAGGACAGACGGATTACACCCTCCCGAATCGGTCACGAGGATTTTTCGATCTGGACTCTGTTTCTCCGGGGGCAGTCCCACTCATTTCACACCTCGTCTGGCGCGATACAGATGGTCTCAAAATCTCTGCATTTTTCACTCGGTGGATCAGTGCAGGAAGCTTTTGCACCGGAGTCTTAAAATAGAAGTTATCGAATTTTTAATGGGCTCCTAAAATCGAAATAACGAATTCCAAGGATTGAATACATTAGTGGGTTTCTTTATTCCACTTTAATCAACCTTCCCTTTGCCACAACAATGGACAGTACGGTACTCGATCACAGATTCAACTGGAACTTATCATCACTCAAGAGTCAGGATGAAAACATCAGGATAAATACGATCACGTGGAGAAAGCCGAGGTGATATGTGTGTGGGGGAAAAATACAGACGGTTGATTAGGGAGAAAGAAAAAAAGGAATGCCCACACGTGAATCGACAAGGAAGTGAAACGGGATCTCATATTCATCTGACGAGGATTCCAACTATAAAAGCCGAGATGAAAACGAGTAAGATCACAGCCTGCGGAATGTTACACAGGGAGCACGTCAGCAATCTTCGAGGACAGAGGCAAGAAGCATCCACGAATGGCTCAAAAAATAGAGTCTATGCATGTTTACTTAACTTGAAGGCATCGAGGACTTTCAGGCAGAAATATAGAATAACCGACTGCAAATTGGAGATCTGAATTCACGGCGACGAAAACGAAAAAAATTATTATAGCATTTCCCGTTCCTAGTAACCGATATACGAATGAGTTTAAAATCCGTTAGACTATACGCACGACAAACGATGGTTCGATTGCAGTCGCGAGAAGGCACAAAGGAGAGCCGAATTCATAGTAAAGGATCCGCAACGATCGGGAGAGGCTGATGTAAGGAAATATCAAAGTCGCTTTATATCTCGGGTCTTCCGTTATCACAATGAGGGTGATCACGAGAGGTCCACGTCTTCCCTCGAACCTTTCTCCGAGTACAGTTCGTCCCCCAGAGTGAAACAAAGCACATACTTCAGGTGAAACTTCTCCTGTAACACAAAAAATAATAATCGTAGATCCTTCCATCATCAACGACACGCAGAAGGAAGGAAGAGAGAGACGCGCCTCACCTTATTCGGGAGGACAAGGACTTGTGAGATGACCGGAGGGGGCAAGAAGGGTTTGAAGCCGGGAATCTCCGTTGCCGATGGAGGCATCAGCTTCGACTTCCGGCCCTGCACGTTTTGCCAAACGGAAGAGAATTCATTCATGGCTGATTAGGACGGCGAAATTAGGAACGCTTTCGAACAGAATAACTTTTAGAAGCAGTGGTATGTCAAGATATTCTTCTTATTTCTCTAAGACAACTTCTCTAGGTGCTTCAGAGAGGCCCGATTTGGCAATATTATTGATTAACAGTCCTGAAAAATCTATGCAGAAAAAAACCAACTCTTCTCTGATGTGAATCTTCTCAGGAAGATATGTTTATCTGGAGAAGCAAAAAAGAGCAAAAATATATTCGTACAAATGAAGTTGGGATTTCGATGCAAAAGCATTTTTCCCCGTAACCTGTATTTTTCTCTCATTCTTGGAAGTTACGATTTTGAAGGAAAGGAGTCTGTATACAAAATTTAATGGTGCATATTATTGCATATTTTGAGGCATTTGGACATTAATTTCATGTTTCCGATGAAAAACGAAAGAAGTGGTCACCAAAATAACAAGATTTCCTTTCCTCCCACACTTCTCTGCCCCTCCCCTACCCCCTTAACTACAGAAGCTACACCTTTCTCAGAAGTGCGTAAGTGATGGCTGCCATGGATCTTGGCAAAATAAACAAATAAATATGCTTTGCCTGTTGCCTGCTTACACAAGCATTATCATCTTCATGCCTTGCAAAGAATATAATTTTAGGAGCTGATATAGTTTGCCAATCCGCGGTGCCCATTCCCAGGATTTCCATACATAATTACCAGATCGTATGTGATGAGAACCTCTAATAATCTTTGGGCCAGCTCTCTTTTTCTGATTCAGGAAGAAAAGAACACTGCATTATTTGAATCTACAATTCAGCTTTCATGGGCCTCCCCTCTCCCCAGAGAGATTGACGGTGCTCAAAGCAGGTCAAACGTCCCAGTGACCTAATTGGAATAAGCAGTAGTGATTCCTTTTATTCCCCAAGACTTTGAGAATTTGTTTCACACAGATCTTGGAAGATTCAGATCAAATAAATCATACTCTGCCAAATGTGTAATTTTTATGAGTGAACTTCTTATGGATGAGTGAAACATCAGTTTTGAAGTTTTGAAGTAGTCAAGCCCTAAAGAAGGCAGAAAAAAATCTACTGGGGGAAAAATATGGAAAATAATACCTTGGGGAGGGCTTGGAACACAAAGGAAGAGAGGGGAAGTTTGTTGCGGTTGGTAAGGGTGACGACAGCAATGCCCACATCAGGATGCTCCATGCACTCGGCCGGCTGCAGGTGAAGACTAACACCGTGCTCCTCCCATAACAGCAGTGGTGCTGATGAACCTTCACAGACAGGAAAAGAGAATCATCTTTACTATCTGGAGCTTTTGCACAACAACCATCACAAAAATCACTAATGATTTAACTTCATGGTGCTGTTAGCAAAACTAAGAGAAAACAAATACTTCAAAGACAGAATAGGCAAGATTTATAATTCATGATGCTCCACATCAAATGGAAAACTACATCGATTTTGAAGAACACCTGGATTGGTCAGACTTTAAGAAGTTATATAACACCCTCTCAACAGGAATCTGTTCCTTCCATGACAGTTTTGGCAAAGTGAGGACAGTCCTGTCTTCCAATCTTATACATGAATGGCACTGATGAGTTATTATTAATATATTTCCTTCCAATCCCACTTAAGTTTAACTAGTAGCACTGGATAAATAATTTTGATGGCACCCTGACCATGAATGCATGAGATTGAGCCACAGAAAGATGCTTTGAAGCATCTTTTTATGGTAAAGGTAGTACCCCTTTAAAAAGGAAAAACTTAAAATAATTGCAAAATGTAACTTTCCTATCTTGAAACAATCGTTTCTTGATTTCATTCCCATTATAAAATGTAATGAGGTCCATTAGGAAATGAAATACAAGTCCAACAAGTGAGTGTAAAATTAAACAATGCTGATACTCGCACATCAACTATCCATTTGGCTCTGATCCGAAAACATGGAGTGAAAACAAAGTAGGTGGGACTCACTTGGTTCAATGCCTTCTAGTGGAATGGAAATGCCAATCAAATCAATACTAGATTGCCTTGGGGATGCATTGACTGCATTTTCAGTTGCTGAGACTACAGGCAAAGGTGAAGGTGCTGAAGGAGGAGGAGATTTCACAGGAGGTGGGACTGATGGGGCTTCCTTAAGATTGGGCTTTGTCACATCCACAGAGTTCACTCTGGCTTTGGCTGCCTCTTCCTCCTGCTGCTTCTGTTGCACAATCATATCTCGCAATGCCACTTTTGGAGAAGGCCTATAAGAACATCGAGATGACTGCTTTCATCTCTTGTAGGATGCATGGCATGGCAAGACATTGGACACATGGCAAGACAGTCCTGATTTTAAAATGTACTCAAAGGGTTCTGTTTCAAAAGAAAATGAATCAAGGCGACCAATAAATGTTAATTCCATTCTAAATCCAAAAGAAACATTCTGAAGAAATTTGTAAGCTATAGCACTAGCTTCCAAAAATTGAATGCAAAGTGCTCACATACAAAACACCCTGTTTTGGAGCTATAGTGCATGTTCTTTCCTGTAGCATGATGGCCTAGGGAACTTCCTGATGGAAGCATGACACTGAATTTCATTTCTACAGACTTCCAGGGAAAGGAACACAGTAGTGTACTTGATGTTTTAAAGCATGGAAAAGAATATGACCACAAAATTTTCAGAGACTGAAAGTGACCCTGTTCATTCATGTTTCAAGTCAATACTATCATTTTTCATCAAGAGTGAGCCTTAAAAAGATGGACATACCCAGCATATCTCATTTGAGGGAGGGATGCAGCTGCAGGAATGGAAGAACGAATGAGCTTCTCAATGTCTGCAAAAGGTGCCTTCACTTCCTCAACTACAGGTTCAGAATTGTTGAGCTCTAAAACCATATAATAAATGTTTATTATACATATACTTTTTGCCAACTAACCAACCATTTCTTAAATAGATACCTTGAGATCCCTCAGGACGAGCAGAGACTAGAGGATGCTTGAATTGAGGTACTGATGGATCTGGCAGTTTTTTTTGGATTTTCATCATCTCAGTAGTGGAAGACTGGACTGACACAGATGGTTCACTAGGAGGAATAATGCTTCCAAATATCTCTTCCAATGGATCTCGAGACACCTCTTGGGTAGTCTTTGGTTCAGAATCAAGAAAACCTAAAAAAGAACAAGGCTTACTGGATGCAAGGGTGTCTCATGCAGAAAGGATCAACAAAAAAAGGAAACTGACCAAGTTCTAGGAGTTGTGAGTCCAGAGGAGAATCTGGTTGGGGCTCAGTCTCATCAGTTGAGGTCAGATCAAGGAGGAATGAGTTCCCTCCTGACCAATGCCCTTTGAGCACGGTGTCTTCATACGAATTCAATGTGGCTTCAATGTCTTCACTTGCCTTGATGATGGCCGCTGCAAGAACAAAGCATATTATTACAAGTGCATGATTATTAGAGTCCATGATGTCATGGATTTACCAAGGGCATCTGGATCTGAGTCCTCAGTCTCGGTTCCAAGACTGGCCAAGGAGTTGCGCAGTTCCCGACACGACTTATACAGTTGGTGCATAGTATCTTGGACCTCGGGTGTGGCAGAACGTGGTTCAAAGCATCGAAGCATGTCACTCAGAAGGGACACATTCTCTGCCACTCGTTCCAGTTCCATTGTCCTGCGACTCTTTTTTGCTGCCCTCTCCTCATTCTAAAGCAACACCCTTGCCTTGTTCGATTCATATGGCAGAAGCTTCATGCTTTATTATGGCTGAAGAAATGACAAGCAGACATACTTCTTTGACCATCTTCTTGATGAGGCGATTGGCCTTCTGGACGTCCTCGACCTTCTTGCTCTGCAACAGCTTCTTAAGTTCCACCATTGATTCCTGGTCTGTAAAGATGTCCTCTTTTTCAAGTTCTTTGGAGCCAGCATCACACAGGGGTACATCAGGATCACTCTGCATATTAGACCATATCACAGCATTCAGAGAAACCTCCATCATTTTGATAACCATAACCATTCTTCAGAAGTATCAGACTACCTTGATAATGTTCTGAGCCTTAAGCATGTCATATGCCTCTTTGATCTTGGGCTCCTCTGGCATGATGCGGGACCAGAGATACAGGAGCTCAATGACCTTGCCTTTCACCTTGGGACTTGTACGACTGCCCAGGTACTTCGGAGAGACTAGCTTCACCATCTCATTGAGGAAGCGAAACTTTCCGATCTCAGACTGGAACTTGGGACCACAGCGACGAGCACATGACTCCAGGACCTGCAGAATAAAACAGGAAACACTTTCCACTTAGATTTCACTCAAAACGGAAACTAGATGAAAAATACACCTCCCATTACTAACTAAACTATACAGGAGAATGGCACCTCATTTAGAAATGATGTTGAGCAGGAATGACACCAAGACCAAGATGAAAGGAAAAAAACAAGGTAAGTCAGAAAGCAAGGTAAAGAACTGTCTTTATCTACAGGGGTAGCAGATGACAATTTTGGACTTTAGACCATCGCAATTTCTAAATGAGACACGGGCTTACATTTTCTTGGAAATTGAAAGTCTAATATTCCTCTAGCATGACAGCCAACTTGATGACAGACATGCCTAAGCCTATCAGAAATCTTTCAGTTACTAGACTCAGACAAACCTCAAGTGCAGCTTCAGCTTCACGTTCATCAATGGACTGTATCTTCTCAGCAAGCAGTTTGATCGAGGTTGCAACTCCGTTATTCTCTCGTGTCACAAACTCACAAAACTTGAGCACTGCATTCCACCTGCCCTCTGGGTCTGTACCCTGCATCACCTCATCTATGGGGGAAACAAAACTCCACTGCTTCATTTCTTGGCACCAAACAGAATACTGTCCCATACAAGATGCCAGTGCTCAAATTCAAATGACAAGTCAGATTTCTAACCCAAGATCTTGGTGAGCTGGGTCATTGAGACATAAAAGGCAGCATTCTCCATCCTGTCTCCTGTAAGGAAATTTTGGAGGACAGCTAAGGTCATGGAATCAGGAAGAGATGAGATAACTCTCCTCTGGTTTCATGCATCTTGATCGGTTCATCATGTTGATCAACACAGATCACAGAATCTGTACCAAGGGAGAGTCACATCCAATGTTACAGGGGAAACAGTTTGGAGGGTGTAATTGATGGGGAAAACAACCATCATGGTAGCATAATACTGCATCATTTTCCAAAGGAGCCAGAGTGTCCACCTCTGAGGATACCTTTGCAGCATCCCCCATGCATTCTTTTCTCAATGGCAAATACATTAAAAAAATACTAAAATTTGAAAAGTCTTCTTGTTACTATATAACCAAGCCCTTCATCACCAATGTAAATAATGATTCATAAGATCACATCAGATGAGAATAAATAGTCAACATGAGGATTGGTAGCACCGAAAGAGAAGAAATGCAAAGCATGGAAGGCACTAGTTAATTTCATGTGTGAAGAGCCCGAAAATGGGACCAAGCATGGAAGCAGCAGGTGAAGCGTTTGGTCTCCTTTCCCTTCACAGTTGCAAACAACTTCCTTGGCCGCTCAGGATCCCTCACACGCATGTTTTGTATGTACACCTGTTTTATGAAAGTGAATGAGAGCATTATATGGAAGTAGATTTACAGCATGACAGAGATGAAGGTGAGAAATACCTGAGCTGCTTTGTAAGAAAGCTTGAGTTCCACTTCAGATGAAAGTGGGCCAATCCAGAGGAACACCTGCTGACCATTGTCCAGCAGCATGATGTCATCATCAGCTAGGTCATCTTGGCAGAAGTCAGTGCATTTCTCTGACACAGCAAAGTATCCCTTATCATTAGAGCAGCGAAACAGGCGGGTGTGGGCCATGAAGTCGGCATCAGAACCATATGGCTTGCGCCCTCCGATCCCCACCCAGAAGAAGTTCTCTGGCTCCTCACCCTCATTGATCACCTGCATGCTGTAGTCATCCTGGTAGAAAAAAAGAAGACCATCAGTAAGGAAATTTGAAGCCAAGGTGACAACTGGAGAGAAAATAAAATGCAGACTCGATCGGTACAGAAGCCTTGAGCCACTTCCTGGGCAATGTTGGCATCATGGACTGAAGCCTTCCCCCCGATCCATGCATACACAATCCCCTTGTTCCCATCTTCATTGAATGGTACCCTCAGCACAAGACTGTTAGAAAATGACACATTTTACCTAAAAATCAAATAAAGTAATTTACTATTTGCTTTTTATGTTGGCATACTTGATATATTCAAGGAATATTTAGGCAGAGCAAGACTGAAAGTCATTGGTCATTTTTTTGCCATACCCTCTAAAAGTGAATCCATGTCAAACTCATCACGCACACAGAAGTAACCACAGGTGGACATACTGTACTAGCAAGACACTCTGGTGGGCAAAGAGGCAACAATGCCATGTCACCAATGGTTCAATTTGGAACTACAATGAGTCCTTGTCATGTCAGAACATCCCTTATGTAGTATATTTTTTGTATTCTAGTCAGCACAAGAGCAAAAAAACTTGCTCTTCAGCTTAGTAAAAGAGAAATTTAAATTTAATACTTAATTCATTCTCCAAAAAAGATCATATTATGCAAACAAATCCACCTCACCATCATAAATTTCACCAGTTGAAAGTATGAGTATGTGCTGTGGACCACCACTGGGTATTTTACCCTTCAGGTATGATGAAAATTTTTTTTTATCTAAAAAGTATATTCCCCCCCTCCCCAAGTATAAGATGCACTCACAGAACACAATAAAATATGCAAAAAAAAAGTGCCTTATACACAAGTAAATACAGTAATATGACTTTGCTATAAATGGAGACAGCTTCCCAGGGTCATTGCAACAATGCTTAACAATAAAACACCATGTATAGAATAAACCTTACAACAAAATACCTGACACATCATATTGTACAATGTTATTCAACTGAATTTAGCAATAATCCTTTTGATGGGACAGATCCACAAAAAACAATAGCTTCTGAGTTCACCAAAAGATAGATGTAAAGTTCACAATTAAAAATCCCTGAAAGAGGTCACATGAACTCCAGTTAATCCAAACTCCTCCTAGGCATGAACATAGAAGACATAGTATAGTGGCAAGCCAGAATCCCCTTGAGTCTCAATACTCTCATTAAAAAGATGTCATTAATTCTGAAGCCTGATGGAGACAGATCTGTAATATGCCCATCTAGGTCATATTACACTGAAATCACTGGATATGAGACAAATGAATTGGGAAAATAAAAATTGTTTGTCAGACCAGAAAGCTGAGTTGAGATGTGCAGCATCAGTGGCAATCTGAATGGTCCTGGTGCAGAGAAAGCTGCCATTGGCCCTCACTTGATACAGTTCTACCTGGGCCTTCTCATGACTCCTCCGATGGCCTCGGTGAATCATGAGCTTTCCCCGAAAGTGGCTCAGGAAGCGGAAATTCTCTTGCTGTTGTTGCATCCGAATCACCTCTAGCTTCTCCCCAAACACAGATTCAAATTTTTTCTGTAGACTGCAAAGGAAAAGTCGAATTATTTACCTAGAAGTCCTTTGAGACACAGGAAATGCATTCAGGATACAAATCTGCAGTCAATGAACACATACTCAAAAGTAAAAGTTAGCCAGCCCATGTTGGAGGCATCCCGTCCCTGCCAAAAGTAGACTGTGTATTTGAATTCATCTCCTGATTCTTCCCCTGCCACTTCATCTTTCTTCCCTTCTTCTTCTTCCTTTGGACCTTCTCCCTCATCAACTTCCAGAGGGATCCAGTAACGACACAGAAATACGTAAGAATCCCCAGAATAAAAATGCCCTGAAACAGAAAATCAAGGCATGATATGACAGTCCTGAATCACAAGAGAATTGGTCTTGGTGAAAGCAAATGAATGTCCTCACCATATTCCTCTTCTGGGAGACGGACAAATTTCCGTCCCTCGAGTACAAATGTGTCCATGTGATCCAGGTCTTCATTCCATTCCTCCATGAGCTGCATGGCTTCTTCATGTGGCATCGATGGCTGACGTGTCATGAAAAGAGCTGTAAGGTCCACCTAAAACAATCCAACCAGAGCAAGTGAATACCATGTCATGATGAATTCTGATTCAATGCAGTATTTTCTTAATATTAAGCAACACTGACAGCCAATTAAATACTGATAAACTGGACAAGGTAACTCACTTTGGTCTCTTGCTTTTTAGCCCACTGGATGAGATCAGCCCCAGTCTTCCTCACAGACTCAACTGTACGTGTGAAGTCCACTGCAATCACATCATCCCAACCTTCAAACTTGGACTTGAACACCTGGAAGTAAAATTTTAAAAAAGGGCAAAAATACAATAAACAGATACCAGGATGGATGATAATCTATGCTTGTTATTGATAATGATGTGAAATTGCTGACAATGGAGGACTAAGCTAACCAAAAAAATTACTGAATACCAATATGGCAGCTCACCTGAGGCTCGGTCCCTTCAGTGACCCTTATGATGGCAGAGTGCTTGGAGCGCATGGGCATCATCTCCAGCAGTTCTTCAGACAGTTTGAAAGCAGCTGCCCTCACCAAACGCGTTGATGACTTCCCAATCCTAACCCAGTCAAGTTTTAGATCAGCTTTCACTTCTTTTTTTTGGAGACATATTGGTTCCCCATTAGAACTGACCAAACAAAGATGTCATTGTAGCAATCAAGGATGTAGACTTGTTTGGAGAGCAGGATGTTCATGGTGAGTTGATCCTTGGGGAGTTCAACCTGAGGAAGTTCTAGGTACCCCATGCCCAAACCCACTTGGTACAGGCGAGGAGTCTTTTTTTGCCAGCTTGAATCCACTTGTACCTGCAAGATAATGTCATGCAGAATTGGATGCTCCTTCTACAATATTCTGCAGAATTAAGTTTGAATCTCAAGTTGCATACCTGAACCTCCAGTGTAGTTGGAGGTACTTCACAGCCAAGCACAGACCAAAACTCTATTGGCTCCTCCCCTTGCATGAAAGTGAACAGTTCAGCCAAGTTTTTCCGTTCATTCTTGTTGATCTTTTCAATGAGGAGTCTGCAAAGATCCATGCAGAATAGATGTAAGTTGATTAAGTAGCTGCTTTCAGCATAAGTGAATCCAGCTAGAATCATGCTCAGTCTCACAGTCAAATGAATTCACTATTAGGAAAAAAAATTTTTTTAAATAGCAAAATCTCTCATGCAAGCTAATAACAAGTCCCCAAATGTAGCAATGGCAGTCAAACCTTACTATTTTGATAATAAAATAATGAAGACAACTCAATTTCAAAACTTAGTGCAATGGAGATGACCTGTAGAACGATTTCATGAATACTGCTAGAAGAGGACAGCCAGTTTAGAGGATGGTGGTATCATGGTGTGGGAAATAGTCAACAATCAAGGCTTGGATGGGAACTTGGTCAGTTACAAGGAGGACATGAAAACAGCAATATTGTCAACTGATTCAGGATCATGACTTTCTAAAATTGCATTGACTCTTTCCGAATGTTGCTGAACCCACTTTCAAGCATATCACTCCCACAAAACATTCAGGGGTTTCGTTCCAAACTGGAGGTTGTCATTGAAGTCCACCCTGGGTGGAGCAGGGTAAAGTTATGAATCTTATCAAGCTTGTCTGGGATGTTATCAGCGAGAGAGTGACCAAGAAATGCCATATGAACAACAAAGAGAAGCTTGAGGCTGTTAGTGATACTTAGAACAATATTCCAATTAACAGATTGGTCACTGGCAATAGTATGGCAAAACTCGTGGATGCCCTTTTAGAGGCTAAGGGGCAATGCCCTTTTTGGGCTATATTGTCCATCATGATGTTATCATAAGATTACAGCAAGTTATGAAAATGAGTTGTCTTCATTATTTTATAATCAAACTAGCAAGGTCTGACTGCCATTGATACATCTGGAGAAGAATTATTTGCATAAAAGAGAGATTTTGCAGGCAGATATTTTTTTTGGCCAGTGGTGTACACATACAAAGAAAAGACAAACACTATCATATATAAAACAGGATAGGGAAATTCTGCCAGCTCCATTTCATTCCAATACAAGCACTAATCATGAAAGTCAGCTTCATTGAAAATATAAAATTCTCTTGTTCAACTCAAAGTTACCTTCATGAATGAAAAAACTTCAGCTCGGATGACTTTTCTACTCAAGCCTAGAATTTTTCACTTCCAGGGAACGTTTTGATTTAAAGACATCATCTGCTTGATTCAGTGACACTAGAAGAAATGTGGAGGCCAGACCTGGACTTGGAACGGATAGTGGACTTGCTCTGATTGCCGATCCAGAGGAAGATCCTGGGCCCATTGTCCAAGATAAAAATGAAATGGGGTTCCAGAGAACTTGGCTCCACAGCAACAGACTCCAGGTGGATGTGCTGACCAAATGTGTGCACTCTATACAGACGTGTCAGGTACACCTGGACGAACCAATCCAACAAATGTTCTTTCATTCATATTAAATGACTGAAAACAAATCAGTCATGAACTCACAGGTTTTTCAACTGTATAGAATCCACTGGAGGTGCGTCCACCCTCAATGTAAGCTATTTGACCATTGAAGAGCTCCAGGAACTCCTCAGATTCTTCCCCTTGTTCTTCCCTGGCCGTCCGGCATTCTGCTCCAAGATAATTTCTCAGATTCACAGCATGGATAGCAGAGCATGCACGCTTGTCCAACTGATGAAAAAAAGCAAGAAGAAAATTGAAAAATATGATAAAAATTTTTTTTAAATCAACTAGTAACTAAAAAATCTCATCCATACAGGGGCTTTGGATCCAATCCAGAAAAAGATCTTCCAGTCAAGGGAATTGGAGTCATCAATGAAAGTGTGGAGGACAATGTAGCAGTCAGCCTCAAAGAAGTTTCCATGCAAGGCTTCCTCCAGCATGTTTGGGAGGAAGTTCTCTATCTCCCAGACTGTTAACCCAGGGATCTGACCCACATCAACTTCAAAGAACTCTGAATAATCAAGTGGTGGTTTCTCCAGTGTTTCTTCCCAGCGTTTGGGCCTGGATAAAAAAAAAAAATTGAAGGATGCAATGGAGAAGGAAAGAAAAAGAAAATGTCTTCAAAGACAACAACAACATACTTGAGGGACTCGGGTCCAAGTTCAGCCTGAGTGGCCCCTTGTTTGTTTTTCACCTTTGCAATCTCTTTCATCCCCTAAAAAAATATATACCAATGACACATTCAGTAGGAGCACAAATCTGTTATCCTTGTTGGAATATGTTCTATAAAATACAAGACTAGTTTCTCCCACCTTAAGAATCTTGGCCTGGTCCTGGTCAGCCTCTTCGTGATCTTTCCGCCTCCTCAACCTCAGCTTTCTTGCTATGGGGTCCTTGGAAGGAGCTGCCATGATACAAGTTACAAGGACCACATAATTAATATTCAGTGATTCAAGATTAACTCTATTCCTACACATATTTAGCATTTCACATTGGAATAACTCTGTATGGTCTCACTTGCAGACGGGACTGGAGGGGGTGGAGGCATGCCAATATTCTCTGAACAGAGGCGTGCCTGTTTGTTGAAGTCCACATTGTAGAATTGAATGCTTGGGGCCAGAGCATTGGAAGGCTTGGGTGGGATGTAAAGGTTTGGATTCCCATCAATGTGGAGCTCCAGTTCCTGGATCAAGTGAATTGTGTCAGGTAGAGTGATGAGCTGGTTGTTCCTCAGATCCAAAACCTTCAATTGTCCACATCTGCAGCATTGTATATAGCCAACAAAAGCACATTAAAATGGTGTCATACATAGAAGAAGAAAAAGATACTGTGAGCAATCAGACCTGCAAAGGCCTTCAGGAATCATTTCCAGTTGATTGTTAGAGGCTGAGAAGACCTGAAGAGAGCCCAGCTTCCCCATGCCAGCAGGCAGGCCCTCAAAAGTCAGTCTGTTGAAGCTCACATAGAGACGTCTCAGCTTGCTCAAGCGGCAGATGGAGTTTGGGAGGACGGTGATGTTGTTGCGACTCAAGTTCAGCACCTGAATGGTGGACCACAGATCTGCAGAAAAAAAAGTGCTATGAGAAACTGCTTAAAGGCTCAAGGTGCAAGTCCAGAAGTAGACTCACCGATAGCAAGTGACAGATCAGAGATGCAGTTGTCGCTCAGGTTCAGCCTCTTCAGGTTTGCAAGGGAATAAAGGCAGTCAGGGACCTTGGTCAACTCATTACAAGAAAAATCCACATCTTCTAGGCTCAGTAAGCCCTCCAGACTTCCAGGAAGGTTGCTTAGGGTTCGCTTTGTGTTCCTCATGTGCAAGGTTGTCAAGGACACAAGCGATGGAAGCTGCCTGCATGTCCAAATAAAAATGCATCTTTACAAACTGATAATCTTTTGAATGAATCATAAATCAGAATAAGAATGCTCATTACGAAGATAAGAATAAAAAAGAAAGTAAAATTCTATGTCATACCTAAACTGAAAGTTGGATAAGGGGTTGTCATTGAGAATGAGAGTCTGAAGATTTATCAGCCTTCTCAGCTGAGGTGGTAGTGACTCCAGTTTATTATTACTCAAGTCCAATGTCAACAGGTCAATCAAACCCACCAGCAGGTTGTTCGGAATGCTCTCAATCCTTGGAATAAAGATATGGATTCATAGACAAATTTTATGTCAAATGAATTTCATGAAAAAGCTGCCAAATTCACTCACTGATTATGACTTAAGTTCAACACAAGCAAACTGTGTGCCTTGTCAAGTCCTTCTGGAACTTCCTTCAAGAGATTATGACTCAAATCCAGGGTGGTCAGATCTTCAAGGTCAAATAATTGTGAGGGGATCCCAGAAGTTCTCAGACGATTTTTTCGTACATTCAGGACTCTCAAATTTGGTAATTGAGTCAGTTCTCCGTGCAGCTGTGTCAGCTCATTGTTCTTGATGCTCAGTTGCTCCTAGAATAGAAAAAAAATTTTCTAATATTATCCTAGCAAGAGAAGCCATGGCATATAGCTACAAAGGATTGACCAATTTCAACGAGAAGGGAACATGAACTTACGAGCTTGTCCAGAAAAGCAATTGATTCTGGTATTTCTGTGAGATGACTGCGATTGGCCTTCAGCCATCTCAAGCCACTCATTTCCTGCACTGAGCAAGGAAACTTCTCCTTGTCCTGCAAATACCAAATGTAGAGTCCAGATGATTCAATGCCATTAGCCATGAAACAACCGTGTTAAAGATCACTAACTCAAGCTGGAGTAGGACTCTATTTTATATCTTGCTTAGTGATGCACAGATATCAAAAGGTTGCTAATACTCCAAATTCTACCACTGTACTTTGCAGGAAAGGACAAATGTGCTCTAATTGGTATTCTTTTATTTCAATTACTTTGGTCTCAATTACCAGAAATTTATAGTTAACAATTTGACACTGGTAGCTGAAGAGTACAAGATTGTGTTGTTTGCCAAAACTAAAAATCCAAAAGTATTACTGAAACTCTTAACCAATTCCATGCCTTTTCCTGAACACTAGAGACTGCACAGAACACTATCCTACACTTGCATCTGCAATCTGAGAACAACGGGAATGTGTTACAGGGAAAACAACAAACTTTCAAGGTAAGCTCAAGCCAAGAGTGGATATGGAAAGTTACTATTTAAAACAAATAAAAAATTTCATTTCATGTGCCATTCTATGCCTTACGCACACCTCCTCTAGGAGGAAGGGGGGGGGGGGTTTACAGTATAACACCCATCTTAGATCTAGTCCTGATTTTGAACATTGATAATGAAGGCTGCACTGTCAATTAAGGTTCATTTAGTCACCACTCCCTCTCCATCCAGATCCATTAAGACATGCATGTCTTTTCACTACCTGTTAGTGCATATAATATGGTTAATAAGGGTAATGAGATGTAATTAGGGAAAAGCCTTTCTTTTCACAGCCAGAATTTGGAAGGGATCTATTCTTGATAGGTTTACTAACAGAAAACTCATGTGCAATAGGCCTCCAAGGAGTCAGAAGCAAGAAGACAACTCAGATAATGTGGAAAAGTAACTCTGTTAACCCACTGTATATAACTCACAGTAAGAATTTTGGTGGTGTGCCAGTGGTTAAATCTGCAAAAATTAGAATTTTTGCAAGCAAAGAAAGTTTTTACATCTAATGAATTTGTTTTGGAAACAAACAATCAGTAAACTATCGAGAACCCACTGCAAATACCAAATGTGTTTAGAAAATACATAACACAAAAACGCACGTTCCAACACGTTGTCAAGCGACAAATATAAGCTTGTCTTCCTACTGCAATCAGTTAAAGGCTCGAGAAAAATCACAAGTCATGCTTGGTTATCATTAAAATGAAGTGCAGGTCTAGTCACAAGCAGCAGAGATGACCTTGATGTATAGAAGAGGAGGAAGCATAATGCAAAAATATTCCAAGTAAATGCCTGGAAGCTCCTGTGTGAAAGCTGAAATTGGGCATGGATATTTCTGCTGTAGTTATAGGTACAAGAATGATCATTTTCAATCATACACTTCTCATTATTAAATGAGAACCCTCTATGCATAGGACTATGACTTTGAAAGAACAGGATGGCAAGGAATATGACTAGACTAAACTGCAAACCATATGAGATAGAAGCAGTAAATTGAAGCTATAACTGACAGTATTGGATGTTACAGAGACAAATGCAAATAAATACTTTGTGTGGGCAATAAAAATCGTCCACTTTACCTACGGCTCTAGGGCCTATCAATCTTCTTTGATTACGCTTATAATTTTGGGATAATTTTCAGTATCTGACGAAAAGTGAATCACTGATAACAGAAATTTCAGAGCGCTAGATTAAGTTAGAATAGAAACATTTGCAGCTGCATGTAATTAGGCCTACGGATAAAAGCGAGAGAAGAACTCACATCGAAATCATAGGAGGAGAGGTCAACTCCCCTCACGAAAGGCAAGACACCGGTTTGTGCCATTTCCGCACCCTGGACTCAGGGTTTTTCCTTTCCCAGAGGCAGTCGAAAACTTTATGAGGAAAACGCCTCCACTTATTCTTTGAGTATGACCATCGATCGTCAACAATAACAATGGGAATATTTCGGAAGACGAATAAAATATGGCAAAGACAGTTGAACGTACGACTGAGCGAGACCACTGACCTCAGCCTCAGTGGACTGCCATGCCTCACCCTCAGCTTCCACGCTTTAGCCGAAAGATGGCTCCACGTATCAGCCATCGTCTGCTTGAGTCCACCGCTAATGATCTAGAGTCGACTCCGCTTAATGGGATACCGTTGCACGTTCCCGATTTTTTAACTATGAGAAGCACAATGAAAAACATCGCATACAGGAATACGGTTAATAAAATTACCCGCTTAAAGAAATAAACTTTTATCAAGTATAGAATAACTTTCTTTTTAAACGTTTCATGGTTTCATGGTTGTTTAGGCGGTAACACCCATAGGGATACCACGTTCTTTAGTTTTAGGGTAGGCCTACTCCTCTTAAAGCTAAATATTTTTTTATTTTTGTGTGTCTTGTGATTTTATTTTGCATATCCTAGTAACTTATTGCTTAGTCCCTTAAGTCAACATTGCCCCCCTTCTTGCTTGTCCATAAAAGCATCTAGTTTCTTCTTAAAAATAGTCACGGAAGGGACAGCCACTACGTCGTCGTCCGCATTCACCACTCAACGAGTAAAAAAGTCCTGTTTTAACCTGAGCCGCACCTGAATTAAATTAAATCCACTGAATTAAATCCAGCTGGACTTCGCCAGCTTTAAATTTCTTGCAGGAATATTCTGTCTAACTAGAAGGAAAATTCAAACAGGAAATGATAGTTGGAGAGCATGCTGGAAAACGTCGGTTCTTGCTGGAATTTCTTATCTTGCATCATTATGCCACGTACTTGATTGCGGGCCTCGAATGTTTTGTCATGTGAAACTCATTAATGAACTAAACATTTGATAACAGATTTTTTTAAAAACCATTTCTATGTCTCCTAGGATTTAACAAAACCGCCGAAGATAGTAATGCTCAAGAGAATAAGCATTTATGCACTGGATTTGCAAACATGGATGTCCTGTCTGCAAAATCGAATAAATTTCAAGGCACAGTATTTCCCAATATTAAGATATGTATAGCCTAGTACACATTTCCACGGCCCTCATCTCCACTTCATGCGCAATCATATAATCCAAATCATGAACACTCCCTTCATAATGCATGGCATCCATATATGAAGTTCCATCCATTTCAGTATTGCTGGTCAGGAGATCTTGTATAGGCAACTGGACAGACCTATGCAAAAAATTATCAAGCCAAATTTTACAAAAATGGCGGCAATTATTTCATCTAAATGGCACCAACAATCTGAGTTGTCTCGTTCGTTCTCCCCCAACGAATTCAATCCAGAAACAGTGTATGTATCGTATTACATTAGGTTCGAAAGTGGGAGAATGCTGTGACTGGAACATTTGTCCCAAGAAACAATTTTTTTGTTACCCTATAACATGAATTTCTCGGGAAGTTGGCATATTCAAGAAAAGTGACAATTTTTTCTCAAAAGGCATGTGTGTAGTTTGCACGATAGAATAGTCTGCCACCAATTCCGATGAAATCGAAGACGCTCGAATCCGCTCTTCCGTCCTGTTCCGGTTCATTCGAAGTGCTGCCCTGGTAGCCTCTCTGCAAGGTGTTTCGGTTTTATTACGGGGGTAGGCTGTCATGCTCAATAGAGGCTGGCCTAGTCCTGCTGTTCATTCATACAGTAGGTCGTCTTGTTGGGCGTATGGAAGGACTTTTGACAAGGGCGTGGGCCCTTGCCAAAAGTCAGCTTTTCCTGGAGCCAACCGTTGTCAAGTCTGCTCATAGGTCTAAGCTTGAACCTTGCATGAGTGTTTTTGTTCTCTCTGCAGGCAATTATAATATAAGCCTAGGCCTGATTTGCTTTAGACTGGCCCATTTTGAATGTTTGCTGCAGCTTTTTCTTTTTTGCTTAGGTGATTCGCTTCAATGCAGGGATATTCCAAAAAGCCCAGTGCCACACAGCTTGAAATTTGTGCCATTATGACCTGTCACATAAAGTTCTCAGGCTCTGAGAGTCAAGTATTTGCCTCTGCTGATGATCACTGCTACAAATATTAGAATCGGTGCCAAACCCCAAAGGATATGTGTTCACTCTTGAATAGTGCAGCTGATCAGGAGTCCAGGAGTCTTAGGAGTGCATTTGATCATCTTCCATTCTGGCAGTCCCAGATGATTACAGATTTAATCATAAGACAGTGCAAGTTCTTGTGCACTCTGTGTACTGCAATTGTCTCCATTGATCACCAGCAAACGGGAGTTTGCTGGTGATATGGTTTTCTCTATTTTAAAATGAAATTGATTTAAAAGACAGACTTTAATATTGAAATGACTTCCAGGACCCAAACAGAACTTGCTATTGATATCGTAACCGGTTGTATCAGAATTCCCATGTCAGTTCAAGGCCCATAAATGGAGCCATCGCCTACATCTCCCAGATGTAGTGCGCGGCCCGCCAACGTTGTGCTTTCTGGGCAGGGATCCAGATGATTTTAAAATTCATTTCCAGAGCCAGTGCCATTCTGTATCGGCGCTCTTCTCCCGAAATTCCAGCAATATCCAGCAAGAGCAATCCAGCAAATTCTAGCAGGAGCGATTCTGCTTCCAGCTGAGAATGCGGCAATTTCCAGCGAGAAATTTCCTTCATCCAGCTGGAGATTGCAAGGTTTATGTCTGGAAACTCCCAGCTTCATCCAGCAGGAAAAGTCCAGCTAGAAATAGCATGCCAATTTATGACCCGCACCAGCTGGAAATTCAGCTGTTGCCAGCTAGGACTGTTGGATTTTTTCCAGCCGGATTGATTGTAGTTTATATCGGGAATTTTTTTCCTGAGAGTGCCGCATACAACGGAAGAATAACGCGGGAGTTCCTACTTGCAACCGAACGACGAACGAAGCCTTGCATCCTGCTGCATTTGGCCACTTGTTGCTAGCGTGTGCGAGGAAAACTCGAGATCCTCGTCGACAGAAACTCCTAGATCTTTCTCTCCGTTTGCCTCCCCCAATTTATCCTCGCCGGACGCGTCGAGAGGCCTACCGTTACTTCGACCGACGAGGAGGACCTTAAGTTTACTTTTATTAAACCTCATGAGCCATTTTCTGCTCCACTCATCCAAAAGACTGAAATCTCGCTCGGTTCAAGCTCTATCCGCCTCCCCCTTATAGAAAAACCTATCTTGGTGTCGTCGGCAAATTTACTTATTGGATCTCTACGCCGAGATCCAAATCATTTATGTAGACCAGAAATAGAAGTGATCGTTTGACCTCGCCCCGAGGGACCCCGCTTGGGACAACGACCCAGGTCGACGCTTCCCCATTTACCATCACTCGTTGCTCTCCACCCGTCAACCAGCTACAGATCGGATCGCTCGTCCTACCCTGGATCCATTGCGCCTCCGGTTTAACCCGTAACCTCTCGTGAGGAAAGGTATCGAAAGCTTTCGCGAAATCTAAATAGACTATGTCCACTGGATTCCCCTCATCTCTCTCTTTGTAGAATTCGAGCAGTTCGGTGAGAGAATCAGGACGACTCCTAAAGCCGTGTCGAGAGTCTCGGATGAGTGCGTTTTCTTCGAGGAAATCCAAAATGCGGTCCCTTAGGATTCTCTCCATGATCTTCCCCGGGATACTCGTGAGGCTTACCGGCCGATAATTCCCGGATTACTCTTTTCACCCTTCTTAGAGATCGGTACAACGTTCGCTAGCCTCCAGTCCTTAAGTACTTCACCGCGCGAAAAGCTGCTTTCAAATTTGATTCTAAGCTGAATCGATATTTCTCTCTATTTACACTCAGAAATCGGTAAATCGAGATGATATACATCTCTCAATTTTCGCATTTCGATTTATTTTTCTCAGGAGAAAAAAACATCGAATGGATTTTCGATTTATATCTCTCACTCCCCGACCGTGCCGACTCGCCTGAAAGGCGTTCGCAAAACCAAAATGCGTCTATAGCCGAGTCGAGAGGGTGGTTTGAGTGGCCTTGCATCGTCTAGACGCATGTTAACCTTCGTATTCCATTTCACCGTGCCGAGGAACCCCCGTGTTGCCCCATTCCACCTACACCCATGATACCCAGACCACTTCCTGAATACACAGTTCCAATCCGCCTATGCATCACAGTTCCAAACTGCCTACAAGGCAAAAATTATTTGTCCCATTTTACCTACTCAAGGTCAAATTGATGTGGGCTTCGCCCATTCAACATACAAGCCACTCCTGGCCCATTGTTCCGAAACATGGGGAGGAATAAGCATGGGGAAAAAAATTACCGAGTATGCATAATGGCACGCTCCAAGATGGTGTATTCCCACTGTTCCTACAGGTAGCCCCCAAGAAGAAAACTTGCTTCCGATTAAAATAATATATATATATATAAGCTTCTCTCATATATCTCATACGTGCAGCGCCTTCGTAGGATCATGGAAAGCGTGACGTTCGTCCCGGGTCCGCGTGGCGGTCAGCTTTTATACTACAAAGGATTCACATTCCGCATTAATAGGAAGGGCGAAAGTAATAGTTATTGGAGATGTTCTGAAGGCTCATTGAATTGTCCAGTGACTTGTGTCACTGGAAGAGAAACAAATGCGGAGATGGTTATCTCAGTCTCTGGGACGCACCAACATCCGGAACCGACACTACAGGTGAAAATGTCAACAGTGAAAGAAAGTCTCAAGAGGAAAGCCAAATCTTCCTGCAGTTCAATTCCCTGCATTTACAGGTGGTTCTATTTTCTTACGAATAGGATTATGCATTCTGGGTATTTTGTGCTTCATTTTGGAGATTCTCAGCTAGATTTATGCTTAGAATTAGAAAGTCGAGTCTGATACATTGGTTAATAAAATTGCCGCCGTCATCTAATCAAGTTTAAATGCAATGCTACTTCGGAGTTGACTCCAGATATCTCATGTTATTTGTCTTTATTCCCAGAGAGGAAGCAGCAGGGATGACAAGCGACCCTGACGCGATGCCAGCGTTCTCCACGGTCAAGTCGACCTTTTATCGGCATCGCAAAGCCGGTCTCCCGAAAATGCCGAGAAATCGCGCCACTTTGCAACTGGGCGAGCAGTGGACCAAGACTCTGGATGGGAGGCGCTTCCT